TGACTGCAGCTTGCATCTGTTTTGCCTACTATAGAAAATGAAAGTTTCTCAAGGGCAGGGTGCCCTTGGTGGCAGCACAGGACCAGGGCATGGGGTGGGGTAGTGGACCAAGGGTTCTTTACATGTGGGTTCCCGTGTGGCTGTGCCACAGGAACTGTTGGTTCTTGCTTTCTTATGTAACTAGCTTCCTTTTCTTTCTTGTGACTTTAGAGACTGAACTATTCATGGCAAAGAAGATAAAAACAGAGATCTGTTTCCTCGAGGCTGCTACAAAACAGCCAGTTCTAAGTACTTAAGACTGGCTGTATGCTCAAAAAGGCCCTGTGAAGGGACAAGACCCACAATGAAACTGGGTCAAGAGCTGCCAGCGGCCACCAGAATCTAGGAGAGGCATGAATGAATCCTCCCTCCAAATATCAAGAAGGAACCAACTCTGCTGCCATCTTGGTTTTAGACTTCTGGCTTCCAACAGTAAAAACAAATTTCTGTTATTTCAAGCCATCTAGTTTGTAGTGATTTGTTACCATAGGCCCAGGAAACACATATAGGGTACATCCTTGTTGTTTCATGTCCTTACGTCTTTACCGACATGGCTCCTTCTCCTTGAAGGGCTGCCTACTTTTGTTAACTTGGAAAAGAGTCTGTTAGAAAGACCCATGGAAGTCCCGGGCAGGAGAGATCCTGCCCAGCCCTCTCAACTCTTCCTGCCATTCCTCACCTGTATGACAAGGTCTTCATTTTTGTGTTTGCTTCTTAGCCCCTGAAGCTTGAAATTTCTCTTAATAAAGTCAACCTCAAGCAAGAAGACGACTGGCATTAAAAAGGCCCATGGCAAATATTTGTTTACTAAATAACTCAGAAGGCAATAGAAATATCAAAGAGGGAAGGACTAAAGTTGGCTGGGGTGGTCACCAAAGTGGAATAGGACAGTCTGGCAGAGGCAACAACACACGGATTAAGAATTATGAAGGAATAATAGTCTGTCTTATTTTGCATGTAATCTTGTGTTGGCAGAAGAATTTTCAGTTGTTTCTTATGAGAAGCTTCTCTCCGTATCTTTTATCAACAGATTACTGATATGTTAAACCTCTCTCTCCTTATACAAACACAACCCACAGCAATCTTTTCACTGCAGTGCTAACAAATGTTTCTTTGCCCATCAGAGTGGCAAAGAGAAAAAGGAATGAAAATATTATGTTATTGTAGGAGTAGGGAGATGAACTCTCTTATATACTGCAAGCAATGTAATTTGGCAATATGTGTTAAAACCTGCATGAAATGTATATATTTTTTGACCCATAAATTCTATTTCATCACAATGAAATAATTGGAAAAGATATGATGTATGTAGAAAGGTTTTTCTAAAATAATAAAAATTAGAAACAAATACAAAGTTCAGCAACAGATAGCTGATTAAATAAATTATGGTGTAGCTATATAATAGGATATCATATAGCCATGAAAAATAAGGTAGATATATATTTGATTGAAAATATTTTCACTATTAAGTATAAAAGCATGTTACAAAACAATGTATATATGTTTAAAATAACATCTAGGAGGATGGGTGTTAAGAATGTTAATCATATCTTTGGGTAGAGGAATCAGGTATGACTTTTATGTTTAAAAAAAATTTTCCCCTTAAAATGAGTATGTACTCCTTGAAAAACATAAAAATAAACAGCTTGACAATAGGCACTATTAATAGCATAAATCTCAAATAACAGGCACAACATGGTCCATGAAAGCCATGCTTTCCATTAAGAGAATGAGAGATGGTTTCTCTTTGCTGTACTCTAAAAATGCCAAATGTGTACCAAGCTAGGACCCAGGAAAGGTGCCACTTGGGCTGCTTCTAATTAAAGTGGGGCCAGAGGTGGAAGACTTGTAGAGTCTTCTCAATCCTAGCAAGAGAAGGATCCTCATTGTTTGGGACATCTGCTTTTTTCCTCTAAATTGTATTTATCCATAAAGTCTTATTTGAGCCCTGGCTGGTGTGGCTCAGTGGACTGAGCACTGCCCTGAGAACTGGGAGGCTGCCAGTTGGATTCCCAGTCAGGGTCCATGCCTGGGTTGAAGGCCAGGTCCCCAGTTGCGGGGTGGGAGAAAACTGATCCCTGTGTCTCTCGCACATTGATGTTTTTTTCCCTCTCTCCCTCTCTTCCCCTCTCTCTAAAAAGAAATAAAATCTTTAAAAGTCTTATTTGATTGTCAAATCCCTCTACATTTTAAACTCCCCATTCTTGCATAGAAAGGAAGTGTGTGAGTAGACTAACTTGAATACTTGCTGTAAGCAGGCGCAAAGGGCCATGAAGAGGAAATGGAACCGAGGCTCCTCTGTGTTTGGTCTTTTCTTACCATCCTTGTGCCCACAAGTAAAGTAGCTTAGTCATCTTTCCTATCTGCATAAAAATGACACAGACCTGAAGGGTAAATTATACCCCAGAACAAAATGTTTGTCTAATAAAAAACTAAAATTGGGGAGGAAAATTAAGTGAATGTGCAGAAACAAATAGAAAAAGAGCTTCCTTTCTTCCCTCCTCCAAACAATCTTCTATGTGTGGAAGATGCTACAGAATGGCAATCCCATTTCTGCCCTCAAAGCAGATGCCCTTGGATCAGAAAGAATGTCAGTCACACCACATCCATAACAAGCCATGCTTGTCCCAGGTCCTACTGAGGAATAATGCCTACTATTTCAAGGTGTACTACGCTATGAAGCCTGCTGGTGCTTTTAGCAGGGTGTTAAGACTCTGGTCAGGGACTTCTGATCAAGATGGAGGCATAGGTCGACACTCTTCATCTCCTTGTGCAACCACAAGAAGAAACACAACTAAGCTCAACACAAGAAACACCCAGAACAGCCAGAAAATCAAACTGTTTGGAAGTATGACAACCAAGGATTTAAAGAAGCCATATTCATCCAGATACATGGGAGGGGCAGAGAGAATGCGGTGTGGCTCCAAAAAGGCAGTGGAGGTGGAATGGGCAGTCCCACACTCATGCGTGGTGGATAAAAATAGGGAGGGATACCTTGGAGTGAATGATCCCAGCCCCAGGCCAGACCCGGCAGCTCAGGGTTCCAGTGCTGGGGAAATAAAACCTAATAATTTCTGGCCGTAAAAACCTGTGGGGGTTGGGGCAGTGGAATAAACTGCCGGTTCCTCAGGACAGTCCATTTAAGGGGCCCGTGTGGACTTAAAATGTATGCACACCCACCCACTCTGGGAACCACCACCAGTGCAACAGCTGGAAAGATGCCAGTTGCATGCGGGAAATGGGTAAAGTGTCTGGAAACGGGGCAAGCGTCGGGCAAACCACCAGAGACCAGGCAGCAGCACTGTCCCCTCTCCAACCTCTCCCCTACACATGGAGACACAAAGTGGTGAAGCAGGTTGCCTGGCCCTGGCAAATATCTGAGGCTCTGCCCCCATACAACTTAACAGGTGCGCTAAGACAGGGAGTCAAAGCAGCTCTACCTAATACACTGAAACAAACACAGGGCGGCTGCCAAATTGAGGGGACATAGACATATGGCCCAAATGAAAAGAACAGAACAAAACCCCAGAAAAAGAACTAAATGAAATGGAGGTAGCCAACCTTTCAGATGCAGAGTTCAAAACACTGGTCATCAGGATGCTTGGAGAACTTGACGAAAAGCATAAGGGAAGAAATGAAGGCTACACTAAGTGAAATAAAGAAAAATCCACAGGGAACCAACAGTGAAGGGAAGGAAGCCGGGGTTCAAATCTACGATTTGGAGCAGAAGGAAGAGATAAACAGTCAACCAATACAGAATGAAGAAAACAAGGACTCAAAAAAATGAGAAGAACATAAATAGACTCTCGGACATCTACAAACATTCCAACGTCCAAATCACAGGATGCCAGAAGAAGAGGAAGAACAAGAAATTGAAAACTTACTTGAAAAAATAATGAAAGAAAACTGTAATTTGGTGAAAGAAAGAGACATACAAGTGCTGGAAGCAGAGTCAGTCCCAAACAAGTTGGACCCAAAGAGGACCACACAAAGACACACCATAATTAAATTATTATATGAAATGTTAAAGGGACTTAAGAAAAAGATCTAAACTATGAACAGTAAAATGACAACAAAGTCACAACTATCAACAACTGAATCTAAAAAACAAAAACCAAGTGACCAACTAGAACAGGAACAGAATCAGAGAAATAGAGATCACATGCAGGGTTATCAGCAGGAAGGGGGAAAGGGAAGAATGGGGGAAAAGGTACAGGCATTAAGAAGCTTAACTGGTAGGTACAAAATAGACAGGGGGATGTTAAGAACAGTACAGGAGATGGGAGAAGCCAAAGAACATATATTCACAACACATGGACATGAACTAAGCGGGGAACTGCTGAGGGAAGGGGTACCAGGTGGAGAGGGGCAAAGGGGAAAAAGTTGGGACAACCGTGACAGCATAATCAAAAAAATATACTTAAAAATAATGGAAAATAGGTCATATGAAGAAAGACTGAAAAAAAAAAAAAAGGACTCTGGTCATTTACATTAGGGTCAAAACAATCCCAGCTGATGTTAGGAAGCCATGTATCCATACACAATGAACCCTTACACTTAGTTGAAAGCTGGGCAGCCACAGGGAAGGTGTGGACTACAGACTGTGGAACTACAGTTTACATGAAAGCTGACGAGGGAGAAGAGAGTCTCTCCCTGAAAAAGACAAGAGAGCTGACCCTACCATATACATGGCAGTTTGTGTATTTCACAAAGAGTAAAACACCAATTTAAGAATCTGATATTATAAAACTGTCCTAGATAACTGGTTCTATCTCATTTTATTATGGCACAGAACTAGTGCTTGGGCAGCAGAGCATTTTAACCCCAGTTAATGCAGATCTTGTAACTTTTGTCCAACCCAAGTATGAGCTGTCGCCCAAACTCTCATTGTCTTTCTACATAATAAACACACTCACTGACTCCATTTCAGACATTTTATTTTTCTATTAATAATTCTAACATTATACTTTGATAAGTACAAAAGGTTCACAAGTACAAAAATTCCTGTATAGCTCTGTGGAAGTTAAAAAACCCATGAAAACAGAACAATTTTTAAAGTTGGACAATATTCATTTTTATATAGCTGAGTGACAGTCTTCTTGAAGTTTGGCTGTAAAAATGATTTCACGGTGGTTATGTCAAAAGTTCTGATGACTTTTTCTCTTGTTTTAGGAACTGTCTCGTGACATTTAGGCTGGATGGATTCCTTATTTGTATTTTGCAGTAGCTCAATCCCCTGCCTCTTGAGGGCTCTAATGACACCTTCATTTTTCAGCCCACAATCTCTGACCAGAGAAAGATTCTGACACCAGCTTTGGGAGCATCAGAAACTTAAATTTATAGTTATATTTCCAATGTTAAAAAAAGAGTAATGAAGAAAAAGACTGATGAATTTTTCATATTAGCGTTAATTTTTCTTCCTGCAAGGATTTAATTTACATACACTGCAGATGAATTACATTTGATGAGCTTTTATTTGTTCAAAGCACTTTTTACTATTCTCTTGAAAAGATTAATTCTTCCTACCTGTAAGATTCTGAGTAAAAATGACAGGCTGGAAGAGGGGAAGAAGTCTGAATTTATCTTTCTGTTTCCTTACCTAATAACCCATTGGACACAGAGAACAGATCTCTAAGGTCTTTGTTCAGCAGCTGTAGGTATGGCTGGCATTAAAAACAAAAACAAAAACACCCCAAAAAAGTCACATTATTCAATCTTAGAGAACAAAAATATTGCCAGAATGTTGTAGATATGAAGACCAGACTAACAGTGGAAAGCCAAATCAGAAGCTGTCTCACAGTTTAGACTTTTTTTTCCTCTGCTTAATGAGAAATAAATTATCATTGTCGTCCTCCTCCAGGCAGCTCTCCTTTTTCCTATGCTTGCTCCGCTTGCCCTCTTTGGGCAGCTTGTCTTCTCTTGGCTTGTGGGAGTGGGAGTGGTGAAAGGACTTGCGAGGCTTCTGGGGTTTGAAAGTGCCAGGGGGAGAGTGTGTTTTTGGGCCCCTGGGAAAGTCCTCATCCATGTCATGACGCCTGTCAGCCTTCCTGTGCTTTTCACGCTCTTTGTTGTTTCTGCTCATCATTTCTTTTTGGGTTTCCTTCTTTTCTTGAGGCCACCTGGTGTTTTTCCATGAGGCCTGGCTCTTCCTCATCTCATGGTGGGACCTCTGGTTTGCTGCTTTCACATGCGGCCTCTTGAACTGCCTGGGAAAATCCCCATTTTTCTGGAGTTCTGGAAAACATAAGAGTATTTTTGCATATTCTGCAGCTAGACAGTCCATTCATAGCTTTCACAGGTCTGTAAACAACTTAGCAGAGATGTAAGCCAGACATTTAAATGCATTAATGATATGACATTCTAAAGAGCCTTTACTAAGGTAAAAATCACTCACTAAAAATTGTGTGGTTGTAGTTCTGTATTTCTGATTGCTAACAGTGAAAAACATCCAGAAATCCAATGACATTTATTCTGTTCGGTACAATTTAATTAAGTTAAACAATGCAGACGAAGGCCAGTGAGAGCGGTAATCATCTTAGCTTTGTGAAGAAAAGTCACGTCTGACCAATTCAATGGACAGCACTTGATGATAAGGTAAAGCAAGATGGCATAATGTGTCCTATGTCCTACTGACAGTCTCATATGACATTTCAATTACACTCTGAAGATAAAGTTTGGCTACAGTACTTAGAGATGGGTGCCAAAATGGACAGATTAATCCTCCAGAGCAGAGATCACTGGCTTGGAGAGTGAGTGTGTACATGTGCACACACACATGGATCTTAGAGGTTTTAGTGCAGATCTGATGTTACGTTTTATTAGGACTTGACTCTTACTACAAGTGTCTGATGATAGTGACTCTGATAGGGCAGGTGGAAGATGAGGTTACAGTGAGGGATGAAAATTAACGTGTCAATAAACCTTCAAAGACTAAAGAAGACCACCACCCTCCCCCACAATGAAATGAAGTGTAAAGCAGTATATCTAGGAGACCAAAAAATTAATTTTGGAATATAGAGAAAAAAATAAGTAATAGATTTATAGACTTTGGCATAAAATAAAAATTCTGCTGAATACAGAAAACCTGAAAGTGGATCTGTGCCATAGCTGTCAATATAACTAGTTAAAAAGGAAAACAAAGGTTTTTTCTCTGATTATGAGACCTATAAACACTCATTATAAAAAATTTGAGAAACACAGAAAAGTATAAAGAAAATAAAACAGAAGCACCCACAATCCTTTAATCCAGAGATGACACTTTCATGCATTTCTTTTTAATCTTTTAAAGAGAGTCTGGAAAAGAATAACAAAAAAGGCCGAAAAGAGTCAGCAATGTATAGGTCAACTTGAAAAACACAGAACTGTTTTGTCCCAAAAGCAAGAAAAATAACTTGATAAATTGCCTTGAAGTATATTACAAGAAAGAATGGACGTAGTGAAAATAGGCTTAATTATAGGATACTTTGGTGAGAAAGAACTTCATGTTATAGCAACAGAAAATAAAGAAACCACAGAGAGTGGCTGTGAACCTGGAGCTCTGTTTGTAATCATGGCTGGTAAGAAATGACTTCTCCGGGGAAGCCCCAGGCATTCACTGGTAGGGAAAGCCTTTCTTTGCATGAAGAATGCTAGAAATACACGAAGGAAAAAAATAACTAGTCAAATAGAAAAATCTCAAGGGAGGCTTTAAAAAACTCTGCATATAGGTATGGATAGAAATATTTTCTGGGCATTTTCTAAAATGATCATTATGTTAGAAAAATGTTTATTGTGAATAGATTACAACACAAGATTTTTGAAGTGGGTGCTTGACTTCTGGAGATCAAGAAAGTTCCAGTTTCTATGGTTATTATTAAAACCATTTTCTGAGTTAACCAATGACCCCTAAACCAGGTAAAGACAGTGCAAAAATAGAAATTAAGGAACTATTGCAAAGTTGATCTAGCAAGAAGTCTAATAACATACCTTTTACTTTTCGTTTTATTCTGTGTTCTCTCTCCCGAATTTCATATTTGTCATCATAGTAGTAGATGAATGGAGATGTTGGAAAGGTCTGGTTAAACATCCGCCTTTCTGTACATTCCTGCAAATTGTATTTGAAATTAGGATGCCACAAGGGCACACTGTTCAGATAACCTTTCTGCAAGATTATGGACCACTGTAATTAGAGCTGAGTGCCACGTCACTGATACTCATTGTTGGCTGTAAGCTGTGTGGTCTTGCTCAGACGCTGGGAGGATCGCCCAGCCTGACACCAAATCATGTTTACAAGCTATTTTTTTTTACCTTTAAAAAAAAAATTATAATATTTATTTATTTATTTATTCAAATTACAAGCTATTTTTTTCTGGACTTGAATTTTCTTCCCTTACTTCTTTACCTATGAAATCCTTATCTTTTTTCAATCTTCCCTGCCAAATCCCTTCTCCAGTCTGAGTTACCAGCAATGGCTGGGGGTGGGCAGGTCCCTACTATATGCCTCATACCTGTTAAAGGGTTTCTTTTATTTGGTCTTATGTTGATCTGTGCTTGTCTGTCTCTTCAACAGCCTTCCATTAAGTGCTTTTCCCTTCTCATTTACACACTAAATGTGGGTGTAACTTCTTACCTCTGTGCTCTTTTTCTCACCACACATGTGCTTTGTAAGCTTATTTTATTTTAACTCAACACTCACTGCTCGTGTGGGCAGCTGATTTTTATGATGGGGAGCAGGGTGGTGGTGCGTTGTGTCTAGTTTGAAAATAATCCAAGATGATTTTGAAACACTCCCAAGGAACGCTCTCTTCTTTGTGCTCCCTCCACTCAAGATAAAATCATTCCTCTCATTCATTACCCTAGGACAGCTCCCTACTTTCTTGATGCCAACCTTCCCTTGGCTGACGGTTCCCAAATCCACATCCTTGGCCTGAACATACCCCATATCGTAGGCTTTGTTTATCATGATCTGTGACACGTATCCATTCAGCATATCTGAAACCAAGTATCTTTTCTTTGAAAAAGCTTTCTCTTTAGAACTTTCCCATTTCTGTTTTTTGCCATCTTGAAGAAAAATTAGAATACCTCTTCAGGAGAAAGTATGTGAAATATCCACATGAAATTTAGCTGATTTATCATAATTTTGGCATTATTTAAGTGACTTGTAATTCTAAGACATCTGACCAAGCTGGTACAAATGTAAGTACACTTAAGAACATAATTTGCAGAGATTAAAAAGTTATGAGTCATTTAAAAATACACTTACGTATAAAAAATAAAGTAATAGAAATCTGTACCTACCATTCAGCTTTATAACACGTTACCTTAATTTACTTGTTTTTCTCCTTAAGAATTAAAGTATTACCAATATAATTGAAATAATCTCTGTAACTCTTTCTCATTTATATCATTCCCTATCCAAAAGGTGTCACTGTCTTAAAATTGGTATCTACCATTCTCATATGTTTTTATACTCTTACCACTAATGAATACTCCAATAAACAATAATGTAAGTTTGAAGTGTTCAGACTGCATAAAAATGATATCCTGTCAAAACAGGGTCTGGTACAAGTAATGCCCCTTTTTATTAAAAATCTTATCATAAGCATGTAATTCTGTAACATAACATCACACTCAAGCACACCGTATGATATTTTAGGTGAAATGTTCAAAGTAAAACTATATTATTACACCCATATTATTACCCTACCAACCACACTCAAGCAGATGTTACTTTTGGTGGACCCTGAATTTTGCAATGACTTTAGGTTGTAACAGTTTTACAGAATAGGCAGAGTAGTGTTCTCTTGGATCACGTTTCTAAATAAAGTTTTGGTAAATTAACTTGAGTATAAAACTATCAGGTCTGATATATTTCAGTGGGGAAAATTCTGATTACTAATTTAATTTCTTTAGTGGTATTGGTTCATGTAGGTTTGTTTTTCAGTCATTTTGATAAATTTTTATTTTTCTAGATAATTATTAAATTTCATTTTGAACTTTACAGAGCCTATACAGTATTCTCTTGCAGTTAAAAATCATACTGCACTTTAAACCATTTACACTTTTAACTCATTTATATTTGTTCCTTTTCTTTTTCTGTGAGTAGCTTTTCCAGAAGTCTCCTTTCTTTCAAAAAGAAAATGTTTTTAAAGAACCAGCTACTGTTGACCTTACTAATTTTGTTTTCTATTTCAATAATTTTAGTTCTTATCTTTATTATTTCCTTCTTTCAACTATTTTTAGATTTTTTTCCTCGTGTTGACTTTCTAGAACTTTTTGGATTCTGAAAGTTAGAAGGCAAAGCTGCATGGTGACATAAAGAATTTTTATAAACCACAGTCCATGGTGGCTGGAAGTTCCCCAGAGAAAGGATGCCCATGAAAGACTGGGTCTGAGATTCTTCTGCTGCCTGAATGTGTGCATCCCCTCAAAACTCGTATGTTGAAACCTAAACCCTCAATGTAATGATATTGAGAGGGGGAGCCTTTGGGAGGTGATTAGGTCATGAGGGTGAAACTCCAATGAACAGGATTAATGCCCTCTTACAAAAGAGATCCTACATAGCTCCCTGGACCCTTCCAGCAGGTGAGGACACAGCAAGAAAGTGCCACCTATGAGGAAGCAGGTCCTCAAGAGACACTGACTCTGCTAGCACAATGATCTTGGGCACCCCAGACTCCAGAACTATAAAAAACACACTTCTATTGTTTACAAGTCACCCTGGCTATGGGTAGTTTGTTTAGAGCAGCCTGAATAGACTAAGGCAGATTTTAACCATAAAATATTAAGAGCAAATTACAACTGCAAAAGGTACTAGAGATCTTGATACATTCCCAGCGCCCCGAGTGTCCTCTCACACCCTCCTGGAGTAGTCTCTTTGCACAGTGACCACCACTTCTTATTGCAGTTTGTCTCAGATGGAGCTGCTTGAGACTGTTCCTGCCTCCCAAACAAAAGAGTGAGTGAAATTAGGGAAGGGTGATGGCATATTCTCTTTACAAATATCTGTCACATGAAGAAGCTACTCAATAACATCTGTAGAACTGAATTTCTGAAACTAAAGTTGGGGGAGGTCCTCAGACATCTTTAACTACTTGTATAGTACATTTGGATCCTCTTTGGTCTGGACTGATGTAACTAGTGTACAGTACTTTAAACATTTTCAAAGCTAAATGTAAACTGTATTTTGATTATCCACATTGCTGGTCCCCTCCATTAGCACAGACAACTGGTAGTTGGCCATATCATTTATCTACTATTCAGGATTAGCCACACTACTGATCTTCTTTAGTGTAGATAATCTATAGTTGTTCATCTATGGCAGTGATGAGGCTGCCAAATTTGCTTTACTATAAATTAAAAATGACCTAATTCTAGATTTCAGAGATAAATTCCAAATGCTTTTAATATATTGATATTTCCTATTTGCACTAACAGGAGTGACTAATAAGCAGCATGTGTCTGAATATAAATGTTTTCCTTTAACAGAACAAACATAAATGCTAAAATCATACTCCTCTGCTTTAAAGAGGTGAGCAAACATAAACTGTACCTCTATGTAATTTGCGTGGCAGTGGACTGCTTATGTATGTTCCCTAAACAGTGTTGGCAACATCTCCATTTTGGCAAGAAGGAGGAATGCACAGAGCAGTAAAGATCTATAGATGATAATTTTGTTAAAAAAAATTCTCTAACTAGGTTTACAGTATGAGTTCTATAGAAGTGAAGTAATTATACTGCAAGGTCTTTTCATCTTTTATCACCAAACTATATATTTGACCACATTGGAAGCATTAATAGCACCCAAGTGTCAGGGCTGAAAGATCTTCATATACAACTTTTTTGCTCTGGAGATAAAGAAGTTGGAGACCAGAAAGAATAAGTTTCAAGTCATGTGGTTAAGTCAGGAGCAGAGCAAAAATTAGAACCAGGGATCAAAACCTCATCCCAGCTTTTATTTACTACTCCTTCACTCCATGGTCTTGCTGCCTCCACAGAGGAGATAAGCTTGGCCTGCGGATGGACTTTGTCCAGCCCTTTTTCTCTGGCCAACCTTTTTGTCTCTTCCTACAGAGTACAGTTCTAGCCCCAAGGTCTGCACAAGTAAAATGCTACAGTCAGAATTCGAGATGTGACCTGCATTACTATGCCCCCACCCCCCATCCTACCGCTCACACCCTGACCCGTTTTAAGGACTTCCTACCCTCTGTAAGCTTTCTGCCTCCTGTCATCGGATCTGATTTGACATTAGTTTACTTCGGTTCCTAGGCTGTGAGAAGCCTACCGAGACACTGGGACTGCAGTTCTCCATATGGGTTTTCTACTTTTGCTGCCACTGCCTTTCCTCCTCTGCCTCAGGATTCCTAGAATGTGTGGGCTCTGAGTCTAGTTTTAGTGCAGTCTGTCTCTGGGATAAGTTGCTGTTGTTTCATAGTTAATGAGACACTGGCTGGGAGACTCAGTCCCACCTTTTGTTTTGACATCTCAGCATCTAGAAGACATAGAGTTTGGCCTTTGCCCTTGGGGTTAGGGAATATGCAGGACAGATAGGAATTGCGGGCATTTGTGGGGTAGGAGGCCAGTTGATGATGCAGCACCTCTGTCTTTCCTCTAGTGAGTGTCAGCATTTATTTGTCAGAGATGAAGATTTAACTGAACATGGTGCCAGGGAAAACTGGAGATACTGGAGAACTACAAAGAAACCTAAAACCATAATATGGGTGTTTTAAAGTAATAGTGATCATTAGAACGCATGAGAACAGCCACCATTCTGTTGACTACTATTATTTCTCAGATTGATTTCATGAGCTGTATTTGTTTTAGCTTAACCTGTTCACATATATTTAAATCAATTAGAGGAATGTGCTCTGACAGATCTGTTACTCTGGCAGGGATGGGAGAAGTAAATGAGTTGAAACTATATTAAATCTCACTTCAAGATACTAGTTTATAAAAAAGTAAACGTTCAGAATCATTCATTTTGAGTTCATTTTTCACTGACCACTTCCTGAACAATAGAATTCTTTATGCCCAAATGCCACTCAGACTTACGTGTCCATAATGGCCTTCTTGACCACAGTTGTAGCAATACACTAAGGCTGATTGTCCAGAAGGGGTCTTCGGCTTTTTGGGTGGTCCAGGTTTAGTCTGCAACATCAATATTTGTAAAGGTTTACTAAATTTTAGGAGAAAATGAAAACCTCATTCTTTCCAGAAAAAGCGCTTTTTAGATAAGAGAGTCCTTAGAAATACTGCCACCTAAAGTTTAGTATGGAGACCCCATATTCAGACGACTCAGTGTATTAAAATGTATAACATTTCTTTTATTCTTAACATCACTGTGTGCTTTCCTCTCCTTCCTCCCTCCTCATTCCATTGAGCATTGTACCCAATACTGTGTTAGGTATAAGGTATCTCAGACAGAAAAGAATAACAGTCTAGTAGAACATGACAGGCATAAAAATAGATAATGACAAGGCAATGTAAGCACAGTGATAGATGCATTACTAATGGAGTGGCAAAGGAGACCTACCATAAAATGGGATAAGGCAGTCAGGGAAAGTTTTCCTGGAAGTATAAAATTTAAATTTACTCTCAGAGAATTAGGTATAAGTCAAATGGAGAATCTTTGGTAGAGGGGACAGCATGAACAATGGCCTGAAACTAAGAAAGAGCGAACCAGGTGCAATGAAAATGAGGCTGGCGAAAGCATGGTAAACAACTGGTAGGCCTTATAAGTCGTGTGAAGGAGCTTGGGCTTTATCTAGTGTTATGTGTAAGATTTTAAGTGTAGGAGCAGATAGCTGGAACTGTATTTTGAAAAAGACCATTTTGGCTTATAGCTATCAAGAGGATGAATCTGAATAGGAGAAGGTGAGATGCAGGAGGAAGACCAATGAGGTGGCTGTCAGCAGTTCCAGGTGAGGTGATGAGGGCCCCAACTACTAGAGTAACAAGGATTAGGGAAAGGGGGTAGATTTGGGGAACTACATTAGGAAATAAAACTGGTATTATTTGAATATTGAAAAGGTAAGAGGAATGAGGCGAAGGAGAAATCAGGATGTTTTCCAGGTTTCTATCTTGAGTGATTTGGTGGTGAGCAGTGATGCAAACAATAGATCCAGAAAAGGTAGGAAAAGAAGGAGCCAATGTAGAGGGAAAGATGATGAAATCTCTCTTGGGTGCTGAGTATCTGTCTTGGGTGAAGATGTCCATTAGGCAGTTGTCTATGTAAGGTTAAAGCTTAGGCAACATGTCTGAACTGATTAGACCTGAAAGTAATCTGTTCAATAGTGGAGGCTGAAATCACCAGAGTGAACAGAATTGCTACAGCCAGTACGAGCAGCAGTGAGCTAAGGCTGGAATCCGGGGCATAACAACATTTGAGGGGGAGAGAAGGAAAGGTTAAAGGATGCAGAGCCACTGGAGAATACAGTCACAGGCCTTAGAGAGCAGGTTCAAAACGGATGACCTGATTTACAAAGTCAAATATAGCAGAGAGGCCTAGAAGGATTAGATCTGAGAAACATCCATTAGATTTGACAATTATTCATAGATACCCTTATTGTTAGAATTTTGGAATCAAAGAGAAGGTAGAAAGTAGAAGGCAAGAGACTGAATAGTGAAGAGATGCATACAAAGGTAGTAAAACTATAAAGGAGAGCAAGGAAAGGATTACCCACAAGGCCAGGAAGGTGGTTGCTTCTAGGAGGGGAGAGAATAATGTCCAGAGAGCTTCAGGGTAGCTGTGATTTTCTACTTCTTGAAGAAAATAGTGTTATATAATTTCAGTGTGTGCTATATAACTAATTTATTAAATTGTACATGTTTTATGCACTTTCCAGCATGTATATTACATTTCACAATAAGAAATTTTAAAAAATGAAAGTTGAGGGAGACAGTAGGTACATAAGATTTTGAGAAGCATAAATAAGAAGGGGGCAGAATAAGATAAGGCAGTACACCTGGGTGGGGGGTGTTGGGGAAGTTTGTTATTAGAATGGGAGAGACATGAACCCTTGAGAAAGCTAGTAGAGATGGACAAGTTGAAAACAGAGGAAAGGTGAAAATGGATCGAGCAAAATCCCTGAGGCAGCAGGGGGCTTTCAACAAAAGGAGAAAAATCTAATCTCCCTCCTCCCCTAACACCCCCCCCCTTTTTTTTTTTTAAGATTGAAATGATGAGAATAAACTTAGCTAAGCTTGTTTCTTATGTTCTCTATTGGGATCCTATAACAAAGAGTCTTGGTCTGCCAATTAAATTTGCTGTTGTCCAGTGTGACAGGTTTTATTTTCTTGACACAGGAAAATACAGATTATAAAAAAAATCTTCAAACAACTTTACTTTTAGCACCTATTTCCTAAAGTAGAATACTGGAGGATGACAACAGCCGGCAAGGTCCTTTGTACTGAGAATGACTACAAATGCTACACACAACAGAATTTTAAACCTCAGCTATTATCAATCGAGATATAATAAAAAACATAACCAACACATGTCTTATTCTCCAATAAACAATGTAGTTCATAATTAAGAGTAGCTAAAACACAGTTTTAACGACTATGCACATAATCATGTACCATTCATTATAGTGGTTTTATAAGTTAGTTCAGGTAGTAGAGCACCAGGAAGACAGGAAATTATTAAACAGAAATAATAAGGGAAGTGTGTTATTTGATTGTGACACAAAATTGCAACCGCAAGCATATGCTGTTTAAGAGAAAGAGAGAAAATCAAAAGAGATGGTGTCATAAATGTGAAGGTAGAATAGATAATGTTTCAAGGAAGACGCTGTCAAAAGCTACTGATGGGTCAAATAAGATGAAGACAAGTGAAATCCATTGGACTTAGCAATTAGGAACTTGTTTGCAAGTGGAAACTGCTGGAGTTCATTTGAGGGGCAGGAGCACAAGTCAGGTTGTAATGGGTTCATTACAAGTAGAAAGATGCTGAAGGATAGAACATAGGAGACTTTTTCCAGAAACTAGACTGCATGGCAGAAAGGAATGGGACAAGGATGTCTCCACCGGGGCTGGGCACAGGGCATGAACACATGCATGCATTATTTCACTAATTGATTAAAAAATACTGCATGCCTAATGCATGCCCCTTAGTGTTCTAAGATTAGGTAACTGAGAAGTGAGCAAAACAAAAATTGCTTGCATCTCCATGGTGGAAGACAGATAAATAAAACCAACAAAGCACACAAACACACAACACACACTATCACATAGTAACAAATGGTAAGCAGGCAATTAAAATAGTTTGTGAATGAGAGTCATCGGTGGTGACTTAGACTGAGTTTTGGGGAAACTCCACTGGGATGGCATTCTAGGCACGAGGCATGAAGAACTTTCTTTTACTACCTAAATCTGAGGAAATTACAAACAGTCCCAGTGGTGTTCCATCTGCCTACATCACTCTTTCCCAAGACAAACGCGGAGAATTCCTTCATCTCTTGGCTCAAATGTCATCTTAGTAAGGCCTTCCTGATCACCCTAATTAAAGTATCTAGCTCTCTCCCAAGGGTGCTTCCTATCCTGCTTCACTGCCCTTTTTCCTTAAACTCTATGGCACTTACTTCATCTGATATACTATACATTTAACTTGTTTGTTCTTTTCTATACTCATACCCTCTGCCCTCCATAGGGGTTGGTTTGTTTTTAGTTCACTGCTGTACCCCAGATCCTGGAACAGGGCCAGGCATATAACAGTTCAGTAAATATTAATAAATGAATAATGAGGTGATGCATATGTAACTACCTGGGCCATAGTGAGCATCCAATACATTTTAGTCACTAAAGACAACCTATAAAATTAAGCTTTTATACATTAAAATGCCTGAATAAATTAACACAACTTCCTAAGTGTCTCTCCTCTTTCACAATGAAAGTGTGGTAGAATCAGGAAGGAGTTGATAACACAGAGAACAGGAATTCAGTCTTACAGTAGTAGGGATAAAGAGATCCTTTTAAATCAAGATTTTGAAAGTATGTTTCATGCTGATATTTATTTTATTTGGAAAGTAATCTCATTCAAAAAGCCTCAAATTTAGCCCCTCTCTTCATTTATGTCCATGGATGAAGTGCAGACATTTGGTTGTTCATTCATCTGAATAATGTCACTAGTTAAAAACTTCCATTATTACTAATAAAAATAGCAACTGTACTTATATTGTGCTATGAAATCCTAAACTGTTCCACAATAATTAATTAGTAAATGACATGACAAACGCTATCTACATACTCTCATTTTAATAAACTATCATGTACTAGGACTTAATAGGAATGAAATCAGCCTAGATCTTAGCTAATTAGAGAACATTTCTGTATTAGAATACAGTACTGAAAACTCAGTAACGATTTTCAGTGGACAAGTTTTCATACTATGATCTAACAAATATCTTACAGCTATTTAAAGTGTTAGAAATATAAATTTGTGACTTAATACTTCTGCCTCGGAGCATGTCTTTATTTTTTAATTAACAGTAAAGGTCCAATTTAAAGCAGAATGTGTCAACCGATTAGTTCTAAGTTCAGGGCTCTGTCGTACACGTCTGTAATGCAGACAAAAAGTTAAATGCAGGGAACAAATGTAGTTTTTTAGAACTTTTTTTAAGTTAAAATATTTATCTAAAAACTTTGATGAAATGGATACCAAATGAACTATTTATGGACGCAGTTTTTTTTTTTTTTTGTTACAAACATTTAAATAATCTATATTTGTAGGGTGATATCTTGGAGATTACTTTACTATCAATATATAGAAGTAATAACGTGGTAGATAGCATTACCTATGAAAGGTCCATCCCATCTGCTATTCTTGCTGAAAGCTTTTCATGCACCAGTAAACTCAGTAAATATCAGAAGATAAAGCATAAGCCTACCACGCCACGGATTTACTCCTAATGTCTCCTCAAAGTGCAGGCCGATGCAACGATTACAAATGATTTTCTTCTAATGTCATTTTACATAACCCTTTTTTCTGCATGAGTAGTTAGCGCAGAATGAATGAATGAATGCCATTAAAACAGTTAATCATTATCTGGGACACTGGCCTTACTCCCTTCCCTACTAGGAATCTCCATGACAAAGGCCAAGAGATCAAACCGCCAGAGCTGCCTCAGTATCCTATTTCTAACAGTAAT